ATTTCTTAATAAAATTATAAATTTTAATATAAAGAGAAAATTTCAATTTTCATTATATTTTATTAATAAATTTAGTCCTCAAGTTATTACTTTTGATTATCATTATATGTTCTATAATAATATATAAAATTTAATTTTTCAATAATTATTTTATTATATCAAATTTTTTTAATACTATTATAAAAATACTTAAAATTTAAATTTTTTATTGTATTTTTAATTAATATTTTTTATTTATATAAATAAAAAATTAATTTTAAAATTCAGTTCTAATTTAAATTTTTATTATAGTAAATATTTACTTATAAAAAATTCATAAAATATAAATTCTATTTTATTATCTATATTAAAAATTTCAAGATAATTGATCTTTAATTTAAAAAGCTATAGATGATTAGTTACTTTTAATATCTACTGTAATTTTAGCTCTTATTCTAATTCTAATCAAAATATTAAAGAAAGATAAGATAATATTAAGTCATATGTCATGAATATATACTCATTCAAAATAAGTAATAGATCTTTTTTAATTTTAATTTGCAGAAAATATTACATAATAATTTGTTCCAAGTTTTTTATATACTATTAAGTAGCTTTCTGAAAATTTATTATATATTTAATATTTGATTGATCAGTTATTATTGATAATATATATTTTAATTCTTCTTGATATACTTTTAATTAAATCTATATATATAAAATCTGGAATTTGACTTACTTTTTCAGTAAAATATTTTCTAAATCTGTAATATTTTTAAGAACTTTTGAATACTTTTGAAGCTAATATTCTAATTTTGATCACAAATATTTAATTGAATTCAAGTCAGATAATTGATTTGACTAATCAGATAAAGTTTTAATCTTCTTTACCATAATCTATTCTTTAATATCTTTGACTATGTGAATTAGTACATTGTCTTGTTGAAACAAATAATCTTTCTCATTATATTTTGTAGTAATAAAAGATAATAAATACTTTTTAAGTATTTGTATATAGGCTAATCTGTCCAATTTGTCTTTTATTTTTACCAATGGTTCCAATCTCTTACCTGAAAAGCAATTCTATATTATTAACTCTCATCATCATGCTTTACTAAAAGAATAATATTTTCAATATTAAAATATATTCTGAAAGTTCATCAAATATGACCTGGATTATCTGTTTTAAATATAGTAAAGTGACTTTTATCACTTCAGATAATGCTTTTTCATTTTTTTACTAATAATTCTTTTCTTTCAAGACACTAATTGAGTTGATTAGCTTGTTGTTGTGATGAAGAAAGAGGTTTTATTACTGGAATATGTGAACTAAATTCAATTTTATGTAGGTATTTTGCTAAGGTATGATCAGAAACTTGGATATCAGTTTTTTCTCTAAATTTTTCATTAAGCATATGAATTGGTTGCTTTCTGTTCCTTTGAACAATTTGCTTTATTCTTATTGGGCTTTGTAATTAAAGATGTAATAGTTATGAATTGTTCATGTAATTATTATTTTAGAAAAATCCAACATTTTATTAATGTTGTTTTGAGAAAAACTAGCTTTATGAAAGCCAATAATTTGGTAACATTCACTTTCAGTCAAGTCAGAATTCTTAGGCATCTTGATATCTTGTTAATTTAACGAACTTGACGTGTATTTATATTGATCAACTTGAGTTTTTATTTTGTAAATAATCAACCATTAACAGGCGTGACACGTAATTTGTTCTACATATCTACAAGAATCTAGGCTACAACATATAAAAAATTTGGAATAAATTATTATGTATTATATTCTACAAACTAAAATTAAAGGGGGCCCATTACTTATTTCGGGTGTGTGCATTTCTCCATGGGTAAGGTATTTTTCGGAAGAAATGCACTTTCTCTACTATTATGCTCAATTCGAAATAAATTTTTCTGACAATAAATCCACACCAATTAAATTAACAAATATTGAATTTGATTAAAGCTACATAAATATTTATTCTTAATCCTTTAAACTTACTATTCATTCGTTTTTCTCCTTCTCAATCCAAAGATTTTTAGCAACACTACCACCAAGCAACATTGTGAAACCAACCCACATAAACCAAGTTTTTAAATCTGATTCCCCTTTCTTGGCCAAAATCCAAACGACGGTCGATGTCCCAAATAGATGGAGGAAGAAGACCGGCCATTGAACCGAACGCAATAAATTGTTAGTGTGCTCGTGAAGGAGGAGGAGCGGTTCTGGAGTCAGATAATCTGGGGTATATATTATAATCAGAAATGCTAAGACAGAAAAGATATGCAATGGATGCGGCCAGATGAATGGCGTGTGAATGTTGTTTGTGGTTGGTGGTGGACTGGGTGGACGTGTGCTCGGCTTTGATTTATAACATTAAAATTTAGTACTTTTATCTACCAATATAATATTATTATTATTAAAATAAAACATACCAAGTTTAACGCATCTTCAGCCTCTTTAGCCATTTCGGTTAACACACCTCTCACTTGTTCATGGCTCGTCAATTGTTGTTTAAACTGAATAATAATTTCAACCTCATCACCTTCTTCCTTCGTAACTTTAACAGTAATCCCTGTTGAATCAATACCAGTCATGCGAGCAGACGTCGCATTCATTTCTTTTCCAAAATATTTTGCGTATGCTAGGATCGTATTAGGATGTCCGTTCATATAGGCGACCAGGCGGTTGGCGTGTGGTGATATTGGGTCTTTTTCTGGTCTTTGCATTTTTTTTATTTTTGGCATTTTTTTAATTAATCTTAGAAAATAGCAAAGTTGTAAAAATTAATATACAGTACATGAACATGTATACAGTAATTTCAAAAACTTAATCATTATATAAATTACCAATCAATTTCGAACATGTGTTACTTCAGGATGGACGTATCGGTATCTGTCCGATTTAGATGATTGTGATAATTATATTACAGTAATATTAGATGAGAATTATTATGACAAAGTAACTAATACTTCAATATTTA